ATAATTAGTTTTATTATTTTGTAGTATTACAATTATTATATTAATTAATGATTATTCATGATTACAATTATTGTAATAAAGTCACCCAGTGGGCAAATGGTACTTCATATTAATGTTCACTTGGGAAATACAACTGAATGATAATTTGCAAACACGCAGCCTGCTGGATGCATTTGGTTCCAAATTTTTGAATGAATATTCCAAATGCTATACTATGTATATGGTTTGGATTCAAAAGCACTGATTTTAATCCAGACACCAAGTGGATCTGGCTGATTGCTACAGATTCGGTCGGCTTTAGTAAATATAAGAAATGCCATTCCAGTTGGAATTTGATCACTTTCCATCCAGACAAAATCCGCCGTTTTGTGAATTACCCTGTGATCGTCATCAATACTTTGAAAGCTCACAGTGGTTGGTTGGACATAATGATGCCAACTCTCACATATAATGATATGTATAACAACAGGTGGATACAGTATATATTTCACAGTGATTGTTCTTCAATTAAAGCAACAGTGACATGATACTGATCCCACTGATAAGACCAGTGTGCCCTGAAATATTGTTTGCCTTTTCATTTTTAACAGATATATTACCAGACACATGCTGCTGAGGCCTTTAAATACCTGACTGTAATTACAGCACAGTGTAGTGTCTGGACCCTAATGGGTTACACTTTTGTCTATTCTCAATGAGTTTCTTTTTTTTTTTGATCATGTCCCTATATACCTAAATTAGTAGGGTACTTCACTAAACAATGGATTCAGTCAGGAAAGTCTAGCAGCATTTGGTTCGAATCAAATCCAGTGAAAAATCCAGACATTGTTTTATAGCGTGAACAATATCAGGATTTTGCAGTCTGAATGGCCCCATACAGCACGGGATAGTTTTGCCGCATTCAATACAAGGGCATATGGACTTTAGAGAAAATCGCTGTATGTTAGGACGTGGCCAAAGGGATCATGTTACTGTAAGGAAGCAGAAGAGATAATAACATTTATGTACTTATTAGAGATCATCTTGTAGTTGACCTAGCTAGTATAAGGGGAAATAGGGATTCCCTGAAATATTACACTTGCCATAGGGCATTACGCTAACACATAAATGCTAAAACCATGCAGTAACTCCTGATTGTTATTATTATTATTTTATTATTTATATAGCGCCAGTAAATTCCGTAGTGCTGTACAATGGGAGAATTTCTAATATGTATCATCAAAAGCTATTAAAAGGAGTTACATGCAAATTTTCAATAAATGATTTCCAATACAAA